CCAGGGGTCTCATTTATAAACATTGGGCACATAAAAAAGGGGCTTGCCTCTTTCCACCAGAGGTATGTGATCCATACAAACAAAACAGAAAAGAAAGTTTTTAAAGCAAAAATAAAAATTATGAAGTATGGTTGAAAAAACAGTTGTGGTCAGAGTAGCTCAGGCTCTCACAGCTGTAACTTTTATGAAATGTGTTTGTTGCAAAGATAAAATGTTACAAGACTGGGGAACCAAATTTACTGCTGACTTGACTGACAGGCTGGCACCATAGTCTGTATGGACAACTTGGTTCCGCCTTCCGCCAGTATACAGATTTGAAGCCCAAAACTCTCAATATTTCTGAGTAATTTCTCCATTTCCTGAAACCAACATTGCGCAGTAGTGTTGTATGTACTTCACCACTTGCGCAGTAGCATTGTACGCTTTCGGCGGGAGAGTCGCAGAGAGTCACTGTGATGACGCTCAGCTCAAACGGCGTATCCCCTCGTTGAGCTACGCAATCTTCATACGCCCATAGGCTGTATCAAGTGTCAATCATAGAAAACATGAACCCCCTAATAACTTTTAGAAATGGAGCTGTACAGAAAAAAAGAGGACTTGACCACAATCCAGTCTTACAGTAACTACATGTTAACATCGCAAGCAGGGGGGAGAAAAATGTATATTCTGTGTAAATAATTTCTAAAGTTTGTCCACAGCTTCATAGGGATTGCTGGAGGAGGCGGGATTTATTACCTATACTGCAGCCCGTCACCAGGGTGTGCTGTTCTCGGGGTGGCTTCACCCAGCGAGGAGGCAGATGGCGTCTATTCTATATACAGTCTATAGCTGGCACACTGTAGCTATTCCTGAGGAGGCTAAAAGCCTGCCTCTGGTAGGCTGACTGAAAGTTAGATTGAGTCAGCTTTGCCAATATAAATACCAAATCCCTGCTATGAAAACAAATAGATGACATCACTGATGCTATGACCAGTTATCATATAGTCTATGATAATACAAGGAGAATGAGAAAGCAATGTTAAATAAATCTGCGGATGCCAACTCAAAGTGTTTTCAATGGTTAATGATTATTCATCACTAACTATTGGAAGAAAAGGTGTAGATTTCTCCTGTGACAAAAATGCTTCACTTGACTTTTTTTCTGTCTGAAGTGAATATTTTCTATATAACCGATGGTGTCACATGTCTTCATAGCACACAGGAGTGTTAAATAAAAGTTGTAAACTTGTTGAATACAAATATAAAACTCACATTCAAAGATTTATAGTCAAAGTGGGGTTCAAACTGCAGCAGGAAAACAGGCCTATCTCCGACTCTCCGTGTCCAGTTTTCTGCATACTTGTTCTTACTGAGAAAATAAACGCATGTCTACATAACTGGAAACAGCTTTACTGTAACAGACCCTTTCTATGATGCTGCTCAAAGAACAGCACTCTCTGCTTTTACTACATCCAAACACTAAACCTCTGTGCATGTGTTTCTATAAAAACAACCTAAAACATCAGCAACAGTCCATCTCGCTGCAACTGTTTGGCTCCAAGGTCTGAATGTAACCTAACTTTCTACAACTAAAGTCTGAGTTTATTATCGTTCACTCCTCACAAAAAAGTGCAGATGACATTCACCAATATTTTTCCACATCTTGCACTGAATTTCAAACCACCCTTTAGGAATGTGAATATATTTACATATTGACCCTGAACTGGATTTCATACATGGCGTCAATAATTTGAATGAGAAAAAACTAAAACAAGCATCAGACTAACATTTAAGATGTACTTATCGCACCTTCATGCTTTCTATCTTGACTTCTGTCTTGCCCCATTCCACTGGCATGGGTCATACTGCCATTGCTTGCCTTCAGCTTGTTGAAAATGCATCAGCTCGGGTCTGAACTTGTACCTATTCTGGATCCAACATTCCTCCTGTTTCAGCTTCACTGCACTGGCTGACAGAATAGTTAATTTGGCTGGAGGTGAAGTTCAGGATTGATTTAGGGATTCTTTTAATCACTTCAAGGCACTCTGTGGTCCAGCTTCGCCTTTCATTTCTCATCTTGAAACCCTTAGTGCCTGCAGACACATGGATTACCAAACCAAACCTGTTGGCTATACCACACACCAAACTTAAAACAAAGGGGCTTTTCGAAGATAGCATCCAGACTTAGGAACAGTTGCTGGCTGAGAGTTTCTTACATTTTGAAGGGTTGCTCCTGCTGGTGATTGATGGCTGGGTGTTTTGGTGTGCCTTCATATATACTCCATTTATTTTTTTCTAAATGGTCTTTTTTTTCTTGGATGTTCTTTCCTAGGGAGAATAATTTACAGTACTTTTTTGGTTTTCATCTTTTTTTCTTTTTTTTTTCTAGGGTTGTTTTTTTGTGGACTGAAGATTGTGGAATCTGGATAATGTGATTCTAAGCACTGCTTTCTTTGCTGGAAAAAGGCACAGACTTCAAGGTAAACTTGTTAATTTTTGGGCCTGATTACTCTCTTCCAAAAGGTAGTCAGCAAGGGCTGGATTAATAAATGGTTATAAAGATGACCTTGCCAGATTATCCTGCACTATGAGGTGTGTCAAGACTGATCTGTCTTCTGAAAACTATCAGAGCCCTCCCAACTTGAAAATATTTAACATCCTCTATATTCTAACTTGTTTAGATATTACAGTTGAAATACTTATACATAGATTGGCAGCTTGTTGGTTGTCAGAGGTCTCGCTCATTTATTAAAAACAGACTTGTGTCTCAACATAAAGTTTGGGTGTTTTCATAACTCAGATATAGACCTTGAAATGCTGATAAAGCCGCGTCAGTGAAAAACTTGTGGAAACAGATTTCAGTGGTAGAATTTAGAACAGATAAGGCGTACTGAACCAAATACACGTGTGGCCGCAGACCTCCACACACACACACACACACACCAGGGCTCGACAGTGAGACCGCTTCACTCGCATTTGTGACTAAAAATAGATGTGTGCAAATTGTAAAATGTATTTATGTATTTAGGGGCACATGTGCGCATAAAAAAAAATCAGCTGAGGCAATAAATGTTTTTTCATGTAAATACCTCTTAAAGTTAGGTTGGATATGTGATGGACATCTACCGGTGTCTTCTCACTCTCAATAACCAGGAACAGCAACAGCAGCACGGTTAAATCTACTTAGCACCCTCGCTGTCATCGTCCGGTGTTGCATAAGGGATCATCAATAAATTACCAGTTGATGTTCTCAAAAAAAGCGGTTTTCCTTCAATAGCTTCCATGTCATGTGATCATTTGACCTAAAATTGATGTCAAACAATAGTACTAAGATCGGACAATAAGACACAACTCTTTATTTCCCTAATTTGTCCTCTTAAAATTTTGGTGTTAAATTTAAAGGCAAATTTTTGAACATTTTCTTCAATAGCTTCCATGTCATGTGACCAAAAGACCTAAAATTGATTTTAAATTATAGTACTTTTGTCGACCAATAAGACACACATTATTTAATCAATTTTCATTGTACCCCAAAAGTTCTTTTTGTGCTCCTTACTTTTTCAACTTAGGAGCACATGTGTTCCTTGTGAAAAAGGTTTGTGTCAAACCCTACACACACACACACACACACACACACACACGTCTGGTTGTACTTTGACAACATGATCCTGCGAATAAAGGTAACTGAATTGAATAAGTGACAGTACACCACAACCAGGTGTTGCCGAATGTGGCAAGGGGGGGCGCTATTTTATTCAAAAATAGAGAATATTGTCTCCAACCAGCAACGCCACCTGGGGACTTGCACCCCAGGAAACTGAACTTTCAAACTAAAACAGGAAGCTAAAATAAGAATAAAGGCAACACAGGTAAGTTCTGAAGAGGCAGAGACAGAGTTCAAAATATTTCAAAATGTTTATTAGATCAAAAAAAATGAAGTTAAACGTAAATATAACTGAGAATTTTAACCTAGGAGGGAAAGAAAGGGATAAAGTTAAAACAACATAACAAAACACAGATAAGGGGCAAGAAAGTTAATTTTATTTCTATAATAAAATTTAAAACAAGGCCTTCTACAAAAGTTAAAAAGTACAATAACCCCAACTTAAACTAAATCAAAGAAACCCAAACTAAGTTAACTTAAGATAAGCTGAGGCCACCAGAAGGGAGGCAGACTACAGAGGGAAAGTGCAGGGGGTGCTCCCTTATACTCACCAAGTGAAGCACAGCACACACACTGCAAACCTTCAACAAAAGAAACAAAATCGGTGTAGTCTTGTGACCCGGTGTCAAACTCATGCAAAGGTGGAGGGCCCTCACCCGGGGTGCCTAGCCTCCCAAACTAGTGGGCTCAACCTCTGAAATAAAATAAAAGAATTAACCAAAGAAACAAACAAACAAACAAACCAGCGAACCCAGTTGGTAAAACTAGAGGGAACTAAGGAGAAAAGCAACTAAGGGTAACTAAGAACAGAATGCAAACTAATGGGGGAGTAACTGTGTAAAACAACCAAACTTAGAAGTAGAAACAAACCAAGTAAGGGGGGAAACCAATCAAAAGGGCAGAAACAATCAAAGTAAACAGGCAAAAATAACTACAATTAATGGGGGCAACAAAACAGCAGCAGGTCTACCACCTACAAACAAAAAGGACATGCTGTTAAAAGCAATCATAAAACTCTAAAGATTAAAAAGTTACCAGCCACCCTACTCACCAGCACTCTGTGCAGATCAGAAGGCCGACTGCAGGTGAGCTGCTGCCTTTTGTTCAGCTGACCTGATTAGGGGAAGGGAGGGGTTAGAGGAGGAGGGAGAGCTGCATTCAATAGCAGCAAGGTGCTGCCTGCCACACATAGTTACATCTCAAACAATGACAAGATCTGAACCAAAACAGTGAATCTTATGTTTAGACAGCAACACTATTTTTGAGGTACATTTTACTCAGAGTATCAGACTGTTTTTTCAGTGAAGATATATTTTGATCTGGTGATTTTCTCGGCGCAAAGAGACACAGAGCAGAAATGGAGCGATCTCGTGGTCTAAAGAACCCTTCAGTGGAAGAGAAGAGATTGGAGCTGGAAAGCAAAATGGCGCTGTTGGAGGCAGAGGAAAAGGTTCATGATGAGTGTCACAGACAGCGCATGGAAGAGGTCCGAGCCAGAATTCACAAGATAGAGCAGGAAAATGACTCCATGAGCAAAAGGATTGCTGAACTGAAGGACCCCACGAGACCAACCAGAGAGGCTCTTCGTGACAGACCCAAGGAGCTGAGGGCTTATGGCCACTTGACACTGGACGAGGCCATAGATAAAGTTCATGACAAGAATCTGAGGCTGCAGAAACAGATAAATGCCCTCAATGCCAAGAAGAAGACGGAGAAAGAAAAAATGAAACAGGATGTTAGCCGGCCTGCTGCTGTTCGCCAAAAGGAAAAAAGTAGGCGGTCAGAGCTGGAGGAAAAATTGGAGAAAAAACAGTTAGAGTGTGAGGAGCTCAGGAGGGTCTATGCTGAAGAGAAACGGCTCACCCAACAGGTAAAGGAGAGCAATCTGACATGATAAGGATAACATTACCAAAAAGATAAATTAAGTTGTTTCTAATCTTATCTTTTCTAATCTAGGCAAAGGAGAGTACTCTGACCTTGGAAAACCAGATGATAGAAATGGAAAAGAAGGTCCAGAAGAAAAGGGAGGACGTGGAGGCCTTGAAGTCGGGCCTCAGCACCGCACAGCATCTGAAAAAGCAGGAACTGGCTAAGCTGGACAAGATGCAGAAACACTCCAAAGAGCAGGAAGAAAAAATAGACAACCTAAAGAAAAAACTTCAGGAGCTCAAGGACCACAACCAAGAACTGGAGAGACAGCATCTGAGATCAGCTCAACAGAAAGCTGAAGAGGACAGCAAAGGCCCCAGCCCCAGGACAGCAGATGAGGAGGAGGAGATAGCCTTGAGGGAGACCTGTCTGAAGCTGATGCGGGTCACTGGAGCTGCTCGTGTGACAGACTTAGCCAAGTGCTTTGCTGCACAAAAAGAAAGACTCCAACGTCTGGAGGATGAGGTGAAAGAGAAGATGAAGATGCCACGGCAGCCGATGAAGGAGGACCTTTTTCAGAAGTTACAGGACATGAAAGTGATCAGAGTGGCTGAGAAGGTCTCCAGTGACAAGAAGACTCAGGTGAAGGTCAGCAAGCAGCTAGTGCAGTCTGTACAGAGAGAGCCAAAGCTTGAAACTCTTTACCGTCTCAGGCTGGAGGGTCTCGCCGATAGACTCAAACACATCAAGCTACCTGAGGACAGAGCTGTAGAGGTGTCTCCAGACTCCGAAGACTACTTATCAGCACTAAAGACTGAGTGTGATCTGAAGATGCAGATCCTGCGCCAGAGGTTTGAAGGAAAAGATATAGATGCTATCCAGAAGAGGATGGAGGAGTCAAACTTCCTGGCCTACTTGGAGAAAGAAAAACAAGAGGCTAACCTCTCCGCGCTGCCACAAGATGAAAGTCTGGATGACTTTGAGGTCCTGGACGACAGTGCAGAGGATGATCCTGACATCCTCACCCGAGAGCAGCTGAAGGCTCAGTCTCAGAAAATTGTGGACTCCCACTCCAAGAGGAGACAGTGGCAGAAAAAGAAGGGCAAGTGATGACATATCCTGCTGACTACACTACTCCAGATATGCAGAAAATCAAAATAAAAATGTGTGCAGTTTGAGGTTTGATTGAAGAGAGCTCATTCTTTAATGTATTTTGATCAAAAGTTCAAAGTTCACTGAAACCAAAAATTGTTTCGTATTACAGCAGTTAAAAAAAACCTTGAACTTTTACATGAGTTTAAAAGTATATCCTTCACAATGTCTCTAACTTTTCTTGTTAAAAGCACAAAGGTAAAAGTGCTCCTTATTTATTTTTGAGAAGATTAAAATGCATTGAAATTGGATAAACCGTATTTCCTCACTGCAGCAAATCAACAGCAATCATTTCTTTCCCCTTTCATTAATGTTCATATTTTTAACATGCTGTATCCCTGAAATGACATGTGCGTCTTATATCATACTTTTCTCATGATAAACCACTATAAATAAACCACTCTTCTTATTCTTGGTCTTCAAGGTTAACACCCCACAACTGTTGCAGCCGTGAAACATCATGATAACAACGTTGTTATACTTATGGAAAATGTGTTAATTAAAACAACATGATCGGTCATGGAGGCAAAAGGCAACACACGACTTTATTAACTCTAACACCGAGTGCGAGTAATATCATCTATTCACCTAATGCGCACGGATCTAGATGCGTGAATGAAAGCATTTACTGGCTTTAGTCGCCCATCAAATCTAAATAATTTTATCATTCCTTGGATACTGGCGCCGTGGATACGATAAATCCAAGCGTAGTAGAAATGGTTGTGAAGATTGCTACTATTTATTTGTTGTGGGAAGGAGAGGCGATGAGAGAGGAGAAGAGACACTCTGACATGAGTAAATTAGATCCAGAGAGGGAAATAGCAGGGGGTAAAGTGCTGCTTTTACTGCCCAGGCTGCAGGTGCTGCAGCTTTCCAACTGACCCCACAACCACAGGCACACATATGCACTCACAGGATTACCATGTAATGTGACGTCCTCACTCACTTGCCTCCAGGCGAGCTCCTTTTTATTCCGGTTTCGGTAATTGAAAGGAAAGGTATCATATAATTTGGGGCTCCCACACACCGACACAATCAGTTTGTCCTCCACTTTAGATACCACTGAACAACTGTGCGTTTTCATACGTCACCCGGCAACCTTATCGCAATGCGAACATTTGCTCAAGTTGAGACATTTTCAGCTTACGCCCAATTCGCGTCTTTTGCACCACCAGAATAGTAAGAGCGTCTAATTGTGTCTTTGCATTGACTTAACATGTAAGTCAATCACGCAAATGATTTTACTTAGACAGTAATAAATATATTTCACTGTAATTTGATTATCCATTTCAAATAAGGGTCAAATGTATGATTTATTGATGATTTATTCACACATTCAGGCTGCTTTATTCCCCTCTCGGTAAAACCAGGTGGCAAGCCGCGGTCCTGAGAAATGAAGCTGATGAGGGAAGGGAGGGCTTAATACTGCAGTTCCCTAAGAGCACACTTGGGTCTAGCTGAAGAAGCACCAGAAACCATGAACACACTGAGTCGAAAAAGGTCTGTTTTTAGAGCAGGTATAAACACGTTTACATTTTGACATATAATGATCAACACGATATGTACATATTTATATTCAAAACCTTACTAAAAGATGACTGTGCTTGATGTTTGGACTGATGATGAGTTCTCAAGATCAAATGCTGACACTGTTTGTTGTTTCGGTGACATGGTTAATGTTACCGACAGTTATGTTTCAAGACTGTAACAAAAACCCGTAAGATGCAGTGCGGGAGTCTATGTGATACACAGTTATACACTGTATACCTACTAGGAAAATACACAGTGACATCGCTGTGTGCTTATGAATTGGAAAGTATGGTCAGAAGTTTACTCTGCATTATGCACTTTAGACCCTGCAGGTAATTTAGTGAAATAATGCTGATATTGTGTGAATGGTGGTTGGTGATGTGTGCGCGAGCCGGTGTGCCAGTGAACTTTTTGCTGCTGCTGCATGTGTATTGGGTTCAGTAGTTGCTGGAGTGCTCTGCATGTAAAAACAAGGAAGCCAGATAGACTGCTTTCATGAGTGGACTTGGTCTTCTACTGTTGCTTTTCCACTTTGTTATTCCAAACTTGCACCGTTTGTAAAAGTGACCTTGTTGCTAAGCTAGCTTTGTTTTGTTAGATTTTCCTAATTTTTTTGGACATTCTTGTTTTGATTTTTTTCTTTTTAATTTTCTTGCCTACTTCACATGGACTCTATTAAAACTGTTAAACAGCCTTTTACCTCGATATACCTCATTTCCAAACCTGTATTTAGGTCCTCACTCTAGGATTACACTCACAAAGAAAAAAAAAAGTCTATTTTTTTTTTCTTCACTTATCTTATAATTTGTCTCTTTCTGGAATTGTGTTTCAGGGATACTTATCAAATGACTGCACACATCTTCAGACTCGAAAGAGGCAATGACTAACTGACTCATTGTAGACTCAAGTGTTTCCAGCCCATTATTGCTGCAATATAACCTTGACGAGAAAGACAAAGGCAGAGTGTCCATCTGTCAGTCAGTCACATGATCGTTTGGTCTGCTGGTCAGAGAGCCAGACCCTGAGAGACAGCAAAATGGAACAAAAGAACAAGGAAGGATCTAAGTGAGAATATTGCTGTACATGTAGAGAGAGAGAAATGAGTGAGGTGATGCGAGGTCAGGCCAGGGTACACTGGGACTCTCATTAAATAAGTACAGCCCCGTGGTCAAAAAGCTGTGAAAAAAAATAGTGACAAGGTCGCTGAGCTTGTCAGTGGAGGACACTCTGAGAAAAGTGGGAGTTGAGCCTCAGCCCTCTCTTCAAACTATCAAAGACATGATATGAAAAGATGATGAAACCCAAAACAGAATCCAGAAGACTTTGATTTAAGCTGCGTCAGACCGCTTCCTGTGATATGGCATTTTGTGACACGAAAGCTCCTGCTCTTGAACTTTTCTGTTTTCACTAACAGCCGGTGTAGTGCATTAATATTGGCAGCCTCCATTGGCAGCTCCAAGAGGTCCAATTGGTCTGGAACAGTGTTTTAATGGGGATCAAATGGAACAAGCTCAAACAAACAAACATTAGGCTCTGAGTTAATGAGCTTGGCTGCACAATATAAATGACCTGTATGAGGCTGAAGCATCGCTCGCTCTGTGGAGCTGCACCGTCTACTATGAGATACCCAGACTGCTGACAAGAGGAAACATGCTGGATTTACACAGTTGATGAGGATGTGAATGAGTAACCAAGTGAGTGTGCAGGCTAACATTACTCATTTCATCTATTTGTTGGTTGTAGCTGCAGCTGCAGACCGAGTACTGAAGCATAAGCCTCTAGTATGTAAACGTAACAAATGCAAATGGCTCCATCCAAACATGAACAGATCCTCAGGGACAGCACAGCCATGCTTATGTCATCTTTTACATGGGAGACAGTAGTCACAGTTGCACAATGCTATCATGGGCTGGATGAGACCTCTGTATATCAGTGATATAAGGGCTGTATAATATTCAAAAAAAAAAAAATGCAGAGTATTGCAGTAATTATAAATTAGTAATTCATTAAAAATACATTAACTGAAAAGATTAAAAAAAATCAATAAATCAAATTTCCCTTCAGGGATAAAAAAAGGTCTTCATATCTTATCTTATCTGTCATATTCTGCCCATGCTAAATTGAATGTTTTCCACTTATCTGTGGCGAGTATTACAGCTTGCGTGCATGTTTACATCATACGATCATGTGCAAGGTAGGGTCCCACTGGATTTCACTTCAGTGCTTATCAACTCTATTCCATTTCCAGTATGTTTTCAGGGTAAACTAATAATTTTTTCATGAACATAAACAAGCTTGAATATGCGTGAAATATTTGCAGGCATGATTCATACGCCTCAGTTTAAATGCCAAAGTGGACTTGACTGTGTATTGTACTTGGATTATTACAGATGAGGCCAGGGTAACATTGTATTGCACTAACACAGCAGGTCTTGACAGATAAGGTAACACTTCATGTAGACTGCAAAATTTCACTCAGGATTAATCTTGAAAGATTTTTTTTGCTGGTCTGAACCATAAAATGGAACTGGCCCCATCAAGTCCACGAATCTCAGAAACTTGGGGACCACTTCAAATTTGGATTTATTTCAGGTGGACCATAGACTGTATATACTATAGACAACTTGTTTCCGCCTTCCACCAGTATACGGATATAAGGCCAAAAAGCTCTTGGTAATTCCGTTTTTTTTTCCCCCTTCCTGAAAGCAACATTACGCAGGAGCGTTGTACGCACTTCACCACTTGCGCAGTAGGATTGTACAGGTGTGGGGGGGTAAGGGGGCATCTGGGATAGTTTTTTGTTTTTGTTTTTAACTTGACTGTAAAGTACTATGAATCACATTCCTGTAGGAAAAGTGCTTTATAGTTTGATTGATTGAACTTTGAAAAATGGAGCTGTACAGAACAAAAGAGGACTTGAACACAAACCAGTCTTACAGTAACTACATGTCAACATCGCAAGCAGAGGGTAGAAAACTTTTATTCTGTATAATAAATTTCTAAAGTTTGTCCACAGCCCCATAAGTATGGCTGAAGGGGGCAGGATTTATGACCTATACTGCAGCCCTTGACCAGAGGGTGCTGTTCTCGGGGCGGCTTCACCCAGCAAGGAGGCAAACAGCATCCATTCTATGCACAGTCTATGGGGTAGACCAATCCTGGACAACAAGGAAGTGGCGGCAGCCTGATGTGTTTGAGGTAATGTGACTGACATCGCACTTCTTGCAATGTGACCTGTGCACATGTGCACATTGCAAACTGCAATGTCAGGATGATATACTGTTCAGCCCAGAGTGATACATCGCCCTCCACAAATATTTTGTGGTTTAAGCCTTTTATGAGCAAGGGGAAGTTTTCAGATACAGTGCTTCATGTTTCAGGTTGAAATGACATGTCTGTGTGTGGTTATGTCTTTGGTGGAGTTTTCCATTTTTAAAGTCTTCCATTTTTCTTTTGTTGTGACATTTTGTGTCTTTTTCTCATTTGAACCTCTTTAGCGAACGTGCAGCATAGCCAGTGTGGGTGTGTCTACAGATGCTCTGATAGGAAGCTGTCCCATCAAATAAAACTGCACTTTGGTGTTTTTAGCTGCATTTGCCTCAGACTTTGAGGCTCCTACACTGAGGTGTGAGAGTACATTAATTTAATATCACAGAGTTAATATGTGGGTCTACCATGACTTTGAAGTGCGGTACTTGCAGTGTTCTTGTTTTCTGTGGTAGATGCAGCAAAGTAGCCTGGCCGGGCCATCCTGTTGCGTGAATCACTTGACGTTCCTTCCCACCACAGTCTGGACTTCGGCCCATAGAGAGCGTGTATTCCCGATCAGAAAATAACCGGGCCAATCAGAGACCGTGTTTCCACTGTTACCCGGACAACAGGGAAAGGCAGCCCCTGATTGGTCCATGTGTAGTGGTGACGTCTAACACATGCAAAGTCCGCAGAAGTCGTTTATATCCGACGTCTTCTACCGATATAACTGATTTCTGCCGACTTTGCAGAGTCAACTGCAGAATTAATGGCGTTCTGTATGAACGGGGCCTTAAAAAGTCCCGCAGCATGTGTTAGAAAAGAAAGAACATCCATGCAGGAGAAGTAAGTGAGATGCTGAAGTTCCTTTGGCTATTGATAAAGTTACTATCAGCAGACTGCTTTGTTTCTTCCCCTACCTGGCACCAATGGTCTTCTGTAAATCAGGCACGTGCTCAAACCAGTCATGGTTTAACCCCTTTGTTTGTGATTAAATGTGCACAAATTTAGTCCCTGGGTTAAAGGTGAGGTAGGCAGGATCTAAGGAAGTGCCAGTTTTTGGGAGAAATCTTGAATGTAAACACTACCCCTCCCAACCAGTTTTCCCCTCAGCTCCTCCTTTCCCCTTCCTCTCTACTCCAGCAAGCCCCGCCCACAAACAGACGCCCCTGCTCGCTCGTATCTTTTCAATTAAATTCAGATATAATGCAGATAAATACTTCAGATAATTACGAAAGGGGCCCAGTCAACGTGAAAGTAAAAAGCATTGGTGCTACTGTAGATGCCAACAGACTACCAGCAAACACAATGTTTGCAGGACTTCTACAAGTAGCATAAAGTGACATACTCCAGGACCCGAGCTAAACAGTTTAGCAGCGCTACAAAACGTAGCAGGTCCCGTTTGACAAGAAACACTTCTGTTACAGACACTTGGCTTACTTTGTTAAAGCGGTTTACCTGTCCAGCAGAAAGATTACAGGGTCTGTAAGATCCCGAAGCATCCCCCATTGACCCGGCTTTTTAGCTCTTGTCCGGTCTACCTCATTTTTAAGCGCCTGTTATTCTGCTAGAGTCTCCGGTATTTACTTGTTTTCTTGCTTGTGTTGGCAGTCGTGGCTAAAGGGGGATTCAGACATTTCCATACTTTCTGGTTGGTTACTACTGTCTGATATTGTACCACGCTTTGTTTGGGCTCGTGAACGTCATGAGGGAGTAGCGTCTGCCTCACAACCAATCAGCACTTAGGAGCAGTGTCTGCCTCACAACCAATCAGGTTGGGGGAGGCGGAGAATGGCTTTGTTTACAGTCAGAAAGAGCGGGCCGCTCAAAAAATTTAAAATGTCAACTACACAGACATAACAAAACACAGCAATATCGTTCTATCACCAATAACTAATAGCAATTGACTGATATCAAAAGCTTTTTTGTATATACACCACAAAAAAGACACTCTTTGTAACGGAATCCTGCCTACTGCACCTTTAACAGTAAATTCCTCTAAACATCCTGGGCCAGTCCTGCCAAGTTTTCACTCTTGAAAGAAAATAGACACCTACAGAATCAAAGAGCTCTTTAAAAGACATTTCACTAGACTTAACCTTCCTTTTGAAGCATGTGTTCATTGTTCATATTCCTAAATTACAAAACAGACTGAAAGAGCTCCATCTCACTAAAATAGCACATTTACTAATAATTTTATGTGAGTCTGTCTGTGTGGCTGTATCAGGAAAAGAGAGATGAAGTTAATCCCACGTTCAAGTCATTTTACGCCTCAAGAAAATGACTGCAATCTGAGAAGCATTTCAGTTTCATATTTCTGCTGAGCATCCCTCATCTCTGGTAGGAATGAGAGGGTACGACGACTGAGCTACACCAATGTGCACTTAACAGCTCCCACTGCTGTTGGATGACTACAGATATGTGTTAAAGGGTCTGTTAACAGCCTGGGCCCATTTCAATTTGTGCAAGATCAATACAGCTTTCACACAGCCTGTCCTGTTCAGTTATTTTATTTATTTTTTTACACCGCTGTGTTCCCACAAAGCAAGATAAGAAACATTAAATTACATCCCTCGATCCTTTCCAAATCAAATTAGATTTCAGAGTTTTGTTATACCACTCCCTGTGCATGGGTCTGCTAATCCAATCATAAAGTGCCAAGGCTCACTTCACCTCTGTCCAAGATAACATGCACAGAATCAAATGGTTTTTATTTGGGGGGGATCTATGAATGAAGCAATTGCAGACGGCTCCATTATTACTGAGAAACACCTAAAGGACCATTAACCCCGGAGGGACTGGCAGTTAGGATTTTTTTCACCATTTTGCAGTGACTCCTGAACAAGGTTTGCTCTTAAATCCAAGGACGCTCATTGTAAGCTGCTCCAGCTTTTGCTCTCAGTACCAAATGAGATGAAAAATCAATTTTTAATATTTTTAGGGTTCAGCTGAAGCACACAGCTTGTCTAGAGACTGAATTAGGTTACTAGTGCATTTTTCCACCTCTCATCCAAAGATCAATCTTTCCTCTGAAATACTTGTCCATGTTCTGCCGCTTTGGTAAAACAGAAGGGTTGAAGAGTCATTTCCTCTCTCCTCACTGTGACTGCTTTGGGCAATAGAGAGGGGAATTAATGCTGCTGAAAGATGATGGATTAAAAAAGGAACATTGGATTAAAATCAATATCTGCACTGCAATACTCAAGCAGGATTTTATTGTTTTAAATCTGTAGACTTTCCCAGCTACACTTAGGCATTGATTTATTGAACAATGTTTTGTGCACTAGTGGCAGATTTCAAGGAAAATGGGAAATATTCATGAATATGTTAGTTTTTAAGCAACAAAGGGAGTTCACTTAAGGTAAAGACTCATCCAGGAAAGCTATAAACAGGTTTTAAAATCTGATTAGCTCTAAGTTTTCACAGTAGTGGCAGCTTGAGGGGTTGTACAGTAAGACATTTCCTTAATTGCCAGTGTGGGAGTTTTGTCAGTCGGCTTTAATCCAGATCTTCATACGTATTCATGGTGTTCTTTCTGGAGACAAAAATGACACTGTAAACTAATCACAGCTTTGTACTTTAATGTGCTATATCGTATGTGAAGGGGTAAGCTGAAAAATCAAAGGAAAAGTTTGACAGGAGGATGAGGCAGAAAAAGTCTCTCTGGAAAACTGCTGCAAAAATAAAATAAAATGAGAGGAGTAATGTTTAAATCCTCACAATAGAAATGCATATGATTAACCCTGTCTTCAGCTACTAAGGACAGGTTTAAAGTAAGAAAAGCATGATGATAACAATTTACAATAACCATAATTTATAAATCGTAAATAGATAGTTTATTCATGTTTAATCATCATTTAAAAACAGCATATAGACCAATTATAAATGGCAAATAGTTTATTAATGTAAGTTAATAGTTACTTTAGTTACACACTAGTATGTGTATCACACTTTAGTTAAAATAATCTTGGAATTGAGATCAGAAATTTCTTACTTACTGTAATGGACTGAGCTTCTCTTCCACTTCGTTCTTTAAAAAAACGCTCGGTCAGCTCTGAGAAAAAGAAAATGTTTGTCTTCTGTTGAGCTTCAGTGTAACCACTGATCCAAATGAAACAGCAAAATAATGTGTCCGCATCCCACTAAGTAATTAATCAGCGTACTTTGATGAGTTATATGCAGGCCATTAGAGAGTGCAGAGCTGCTCTGTATCATATCAGATTAATGTACACAGCTTAGAGTGAAGCTGAGTACTCCTGCAGTGTGTTGTGGTACACAGCTTTATGGTTGCTGCCTCTTGGATGAAATCCTTTTCAGCTCTTTTGGTCAAATTGAGGAGCGTAACCATTAAGGGCTCTACTTTTGATTGGCGAAAACAGATCTCAGCTGTGTTAAACCCACTCCACGCCTTATCCCCTCCCTCTCTACGATTTACGCTGCTGGGAGGAGCTGAGTTAGGGAGGGGGGATACTTACTGCGCCACTCACCAAAATGTGCTTGGGCACGCCTTGTCGGCGCGGCAGACCTGACATAAGCCACGCTTACGCCACGCAGCTGGCAAGGTATGAAAATAGAGCCCTAAGTGTCAAAGTGGAAGAATAAGGAATCTCCTATTACCACCTGAATTGCAGGTTGTCCTCCCTCTCATAACATCAGCGTGTGTTTACAGACTGATGTTTCCAGCTGACAGGGACATGTTAAGATTGTGAGACATAATGTGGCGAGCTGTGGATAACCGTCGGTGTTGTAACCAATAATTTAGATAAAGTAGAAGTATATAGCCAGCAGTCATTGATGATAAATGGCCGTATTTAAATCAAGATGCTTCCTAGCTCATTTTTTTCTGCCTCATTGACAACACGTGTAAATGTTTTATGTTCAACGTCCTGCATGCTGCAATTTATGAAGCTTATCATTAGACCATATGGTGGTGACTGGCCTGAATTCCAATGTCATCTGTGTGCATGCATACTGCATGTGTGGCTGTGCTTTTGCAAGCACTGAATAGTAATAAACAAAATATGCAAGTCCCAGATTCCATTTCAGACTTTTACAGGACTGGACAAATGTCTCCTCAGTCCATCTCTCAGAATCTATGGGTGTGACTGATAAAAAGGAACATTTTTGTTTAGTTGTATGTGTGGCTGATGGGACAGAGAATGACTGTTAATCACTGGCTTCTGGTTCCTGCCATTATTGCTGTTTGTCTGCGCTCCTCGCTCTGAGCTGCATTATACCACCTCATTTAAAACAGCGAACACTTCTTACATAATTCTTTAGTTTTATCGTTAATTTGAATGTTAATTTTTTATCTCATTGCATTTCATGTGTTATTTTTTGTTCCTTTGTGTTTGCTTTTGTGTTTTTTCAGCATGCTGACTATGAATGTATGCATGGGTATGAGTGTGTGTGCATGATGTGTACTTTAAGGCGTGATCACTTGCATATTTATGGCCCATTTGAGTAGTTGTCAGCTTCTTCTTCTTGCACAGAAGCTGTTGGGCTGGCAGGTGGGGTAGTCGTTCCCCCGGTAAACGTCTCATCGCTCCCCTTCACTCCCTTGTACAGCCATGCACTCAGACGTCCTCTTAGAAGGAGTGTCGATTTACAGATGTGCAGTGTCGCCTTAGGACTTCTCCCCTTCCTTGCAGCTAGTCTTCCTCTCCTTCCTAGCTGGTAGCGAACTTAATGGGCCATAGAAGACTGAGCAAAAGGTATTGATATTTTATTAAAATCCTGACTGATTTGCTAAATTTGAACCTCTACCTTTGCTATGTCTGCAACGTTTCCACCAACTTTGAAATAAAATAACAATATTAGGGTGTTTTTATTTTCTGTAAATGACCGCTGGTGAACAAAAAGTGGCAGTTTAATTCAGAGTGCAATGATAACAAAGACATAGGAAGTTAATTTTGTTTTTTATACAACAGTTTACCAATGGTTAAACATATGTTGGCTTTACACCAGAGGACTTTCGGATCATAACCCATATTTTAATATCAGGAGACCGCACTCAAAAGGACAGTTCAGACCATTTTTTCACTGTTATCCTCCTCTGAGCACACACTCAGAATGAGACCACTAGAACATTCAATGCTGGTGTTCATGATTTCACAGATCTTGTAGAATCATTCAGCCCATGGTTGCACTTCGAAAGCTACCAAAAATTTTATGTTGAGTGCTTTCTTTCATGTTAATTAGTGCATGAGCTGACATCATAATTTAGTCAAGGCCCCTTAAATTACAAAATACAAACTGCTTTTTTTTTGTTTGTTTGTTTGTTTGTTTGTTTCATGGCTGTGAGTTATAAACACACTTGATGATGTGTCCCGGTTAGCTCCTCTCATTGGTTATTGTGGGTAATTCTTCAGAGGCATTTGGAGACTTTATTTTTTTCCACCTTTATTTTTTATGTCGCTGTGATTCATCAGTAGAACCTATGATCTCCGGCTCATTTAAAGGCATTTTCATTCACAAGGGACTTTGCAGTGACTATTCATGGATGAATGTGAGCATATAGAGGGCAGAGTACAATACTGATCCTTCTATGTGTATTACCAGGTGGATTGCGATGAAAAAGACATAAATAGGTGAAAGCTTACACAATCATTGTTTCATACATCTGGATTTTTTTTTTTTTTTTAACATACGCCAGTTCTAGGTTCTTGGCATACACATACTGCTAGACCTCTGGAGTACTGATGCAAAATTGAGCTTTGGTAAAATCGTTGAATTGATGCTCCTTAAAGGATTATTTGGACAAACAATAGAATAGCTCAAATTAGGATATGCCACCTTAAAGTTTAAAACAGCAATTTGACTATAAATCTGTACTACAACTGTCTTGTCTGAGGCCAGCCTTAGAAACATTTAAGCAACCAATGTTTATTCGAGTTTTTGAATAATAGCTTTCACAATAATCTCTGGACTTGGGCCCCATTTATATGTACCTGGTTATTTTTTAAAAGGGAGACATTAACCATCGTTTGCACCCTTCAATTAGACGCAAACAGAGAATTCGCCCCTGAAAATGATGCTTTTCAAAAACTCCAGCCAGAGTGGAGATTTTGGAAAACTCTGTTTCCACGTTTGCTTGTAAACAGAGAAAAACTGAGATTTTGGAAGCTGATGGCAGATTGTGGGCCAGAAAGAAGGAAGTGATGTTCTTTCTTTCTTTCTTTCTTTCTTTCTTTCTTTCTTTCTTTCTTTCTTTCTTTCTTTCTTTCTGGACATGGTTAAAAAAAATGTATATTTAAAAAAAAACACACAAAACAACAGTTAAGAATAAAATAAAATAAGTGCCTCACTTAGAAGCACATCAATCTCACTTATCACAACAAAATAAGAACAAAAACAAAACCAGAGTATCCACATGTCCAAAAAAGGGGTAAAAAGAAGTCAAAGACTTGTCTAGTCTTACCTCTCTGTTACTGATCTCATTTAACTTAACTTAAACACTATAACTAAATGTTTTTCTTATGTTGTTGTTGTTGTTGTTGCTGCCATGCAGGATTCCGATTGGCTTACATGGGATTAAACTTCTCGCTACTCTGCCACCTACAGGTTTGGCATGCTCATGACAGCATACATACATGGGTTAGTGTAAACTTTTCTGAAAACGTAGTGGTGTGCACGTAGGTTTTTTTTTTTTTTTTTTTTTTTTTTTGTTTGTGAACAGAGCGGGTGAAATGTTCGTTTCTGAAAATAGCCGGGCAGGTGTAAACGTAATCTTTAATATATTGTACAGTCTTGTACATCTGTCAGGCCACATTATGCCACTTTTGATACAAAGTTTTTAGCAGCTTGACTTTGTTTGTTGGCTTGTCAGGTGATCCTCAAATCAGTGCTTCATCAAGCTAAATGAGGTGAGCCCATGTTCCAATCTACCACACACAATAGAGCTGCTTTCATGCATGTAGAGATGCTGATTGAAGAGAAAATTTGAAGTTGTTACTCTCTTTTTCCAAAGCTGTATGTTCTACCCTCTCGTAACCTCTCATCAAGTTAAAATGAATGTGCAATCAAACATTTACACACAGACTGACAAACACTTTATTTCATGGGTTGAAGACCTGGGAGCTTTCCTTTTCTCTAGGATTTAAACATCTGTTCAGGTTAAACTGAGGTGCTTCTCTGTTTGCTTCAAGATGTTTCAAAGTTTTAGAAACAGACTGGACTTTGTATACCTTTTAATCATTTTTGAAGCAGTTACTTTGGTGCGGGATGTCGGAGTGTGAGGATCTTCCTTCATCAACAGAGACAACTATTCTCTTGTGATTGACCGAGTTCCTGGAACGGCTCACTCTTACTTCATCAATTATTCATTCTGCTGTGAACTCAGTTTGGCTGCAGAGTGCATGACCTGTCTTGTGCATGAGCCTGACTGCTGTATAATCTTGACCTGCTTCTGCTTATCCTGGAGGAGCTTGGTTACCCTATGGTGAATGCTAGATATCTTGCTTTGCTGAGTCACAAATCTGCTGATATCTTGATGTTTTGATGAACAGATGAAATAGAAAAAGCCTTTTTTTGTGTGTGTGTGCAGAGCTGTCCTGATGTGGGAAGCTATCACAAAAAAGGTATGTTTATGCTTTTCACTCCACTGATGTATCAGTAAATGATAGTAAAAGGATATGAATACACAGAACAAAACAGACACACTGCACCACATTCTAATGTTTAATGGAAGTAGGAGCAGAAAAAAAAAGTGTGTCAGTGTTTAGAGCTTCACCTGTAAAACTTTGCATTGTGCATTAAAATCAACAACAGCTGTTTTATGAAGTAAACGATAAAAAACGGATGAGCTTTTTTTGGTGTTCTTAAATCAATAGTATATCCAAATATAAAATACTTTGTTTAAGCAGGGTACAAATGTTATTATGCTGATTTAAAATCCCAAATACTTGATTTGATTTTTTACATTTTTTAATCAGATATGCCATTGTGTTTGAGAGCCCTAAGAACAGTTAAGTACACATTCTGTGGATTGTCACGAGTGTAGGACACTTAACCCGGACCTTTCTCTGCTGGCTGCACGAACCCAGCTGTGTGTAAATGGGATTGTTTGAAACTGATGAGTGCTTTACATGGATATGGTGTTAATGGGTTAATGTGATACGTAATATAAGTGCTTTGAATGATCAGATCCTAAAGTCTTTTAATGGAATCTGCTGTAGGGTTTTTGCATGCCTATTTTCTCAGCTATATTTCACCTGTTAGTTCTTCAAAGGCTGCAGACTCAGCAGTCAATATAGGAAGCATGTCTTAAGCAACATACCTTACAACCAATCTGTTTTATCTGGCTGACAGATTGGGGAGCTGGAGGTGATTCAAAACCAAGCCTTGGCTGTGGCTCTTTGGATGGAGTGGCTTCTCCCTGGTCTGCCAAGCTATCATGAGATCTACACAAGGGTCACCAGTGTTTGCTGTGGATGCAGGGTCGTAGACGGCTACCTGAGTAAAGATGTTTTGTTTGGTTTGGTGCTCTGTGATATGAGAATGACTACAACGTTTTTTTTTTTTTTTTTTTTCTTTTACCATGAGGAGGGAAAATTAGGCTGGCATTATCAAGCCCAGAAAAATACTCCGCAAGCTCTGTATATATACTCCGTGCTCATGTACGCTCTTCATGATTATGTTTTCAAGGTTTAATCGGACTGAACATCATTCTTTTAACTTTTCTTCTTTACAGTCCAGTCTCAAATGAATGGGAGCTCATCTCCTTGTGCATATATCCTATATACATATAGTCCATGGTGATGGGAATCAGGGGTACTCTACCTTCAGTTGCATCTCACATGAAGAGCCCTGAAGAGCAATTACAGCCTTTTTTTTCTTTTTTTTTTAAGAAGAGGCATAATGACTTGGATTTTAAAGGGCTTGGTTTAGCAGCAGTGGTACTCCAGAATAAAGCCAGTTTGTCTGAGACTCTTCTGAAGCTTTATGGTATCAGGGTTGACAGTTTTCAGAGGTAGGTTTTGGTCTGAACTTCTATAGCAGATGTATTTCTGTGTTTGTTTGTATCATGATATAGAATGGATGAATTGGACACTCAGCTTTTCAAGTGCAGGGAAAAAAAGCTGTGCTTTGAAATGTTGTCAGTCAGAGGATTCAGATGCTGTTTAGCACATAAGTTGTTAGAGGCTTTTTGCTATTATGAAAACAGGTTTGAGCAATAGACTGTAAATAGAATTTTATTTATGTATTTTTAATGTAATTTATGTCTACTCAGAAATATAGTCAGTTCTAAAGTAATAGTACTATTTGTTGAGAAACTACCTAGAGACTTGAAGTAAAAGCTAGTCCATCACTCTTAGTTTTCTCATACCAACTCTGGTGTTTGGGTCAGTTTTTTATTGCTGCTGCAAAGACCTTCCAGTTTGGTCAGTTTTTTTGCACCCCCAGTGGGGAACTTAAAAAAAAAAATCTCAATGGGGCTTAAAGTAGCACAAGTACTCTGCAAGTACAGGCTGAGCTGATGAGGATCTCCTGTGGGTAATACACACACTACTGACCTTCAGAGAAACACAAATATATTGAAAGGAGTGTTGGCCTTCATTAGAGGGGACCTTTTATGCTGAGCTGTACTTGAATACTTATTTTTAATGTTACAATGTTGGATGTCCGTATGTAACCTTGGCAGGGTTTCATCACATGGGATTCACTCCCCAGATGAATTTTCTAACTTTTCTGAACATCAAAGCATGGCCTTAACCTGACTGACATCAGGTTGTCAGTCAAAACAGTGCTAACAGACGAGCCCACCTAGAAGCTGAAAAGTCAATTTCCCTGCACATCTTTCTGCTCTTTCCTGATTCAGTATATCTCTAAAAGTTGCTCTTAAGTGTTCCTCTGACTTGAAGGACAGTGACAGCTTTTTTTCTCTTCCAAAAGATGTAAACACCACGAAACTATTGGAAAACAGTATATTTTTGAGACATTCAAAGCCACAACAGCTGTTTGTGTTCACTGATGACCCCATTGTAAACAAAGGCCAGTACAGGCTGGATCTGCAAGTCCATGCAGGTTGAGAACCACAAGATGCAAGTAACAACATAATAGCAGGTGATGTTGCAGTATTTAACATGTTAACACAGCAAAATGGGCCCTGATTACTGGCGTCCGATGTTTATTTTTATTTTTTATTTTTTTTTTTGGGAAAAGGATAACTTATGTGACATTTTGTGACTGCAAAGCTGTTTAAAAAAGTAACACTCCAAGTTGTGTCTATCTTTGTATCAGCTGACAAGTAGCCATATTAAAGGAATATTCCAGCGTAAAATTAAGTTAGGGTCAAACACACCATAACTCCAAGTTAGACTTTAGTAACTTTAGTAACGACCGCAGGATAGCAATACACAGCAGTCTGAGGAGCCATAAACAAATCTCAACCAAAACGCCACTCTATAGCCACAAATAATGCTCAGAACAGCACCTAACCTCATCAACAGTACATATAGGGTCCCAGCCATAGTACTAGTCACCAAACATCTTTCGGTAGTTCCTCTGACTTAGCGTCTCGGTCTGATTGCATTCCCATGAAGAAATGATCATAAATGTTCTTCCTTGAGCTGTGTCACCCGCAGTAGTCCGTAATGGACTCACCCAAAGTCTTGCTACAAACAAGCGACTGCTTGAAAAGAAAGATGTTTGATGGCTAGTGCTATGGCTGGGACCCTATATGTACTGTTGATGAAGTTAGGTGCTGTTCTGAGCATTATTTGTGGCTATAGAGTGGCTTTTTGGTTGAGGTTTGTTTATGGCTCCTTAGACCGCTGTGTGTTGCTATCTTGCGGTCGTTACTAAAGTTGGTATAACTAGAGAAGCAAGAGATCGACAATCAACATTCATCTCTTGGGGAAGGGGGGTAACTTGGTGGTAACCTATACTAATTTTACGCTGGAATATCCCTTTAAAGCATTTCAGACTGAGGCTGAATAGTGCTGAAATGAAGAAGGAAGTTTTCTTTTTGCTGTAAATCATGCACAGTTACTCTCAGAAATACAGAATTTTCAAAAGAACTATAAAAAAAAAAACAGACAGAAACACAATGAGATGGTCATGAGTGGGGAATTTATACATTTTGAAGAAAACTGATTGATAGGAAGACAAAAGTATGTGGTTTGACAAATTGTGTAAAAACAAGCTCTGGGGTCTGCAGGTCTAATCTGAAGGATTGAAGGATTTCTTTCTGTAAATCCACTTACAGCAGGCTTAGTGACTGCATCCATCAAATCTGCTGCAATCCTTGATGCATCTTTTCTGCAGTTCTTCTAGCTCTGGGACAGAGAGATGACATCACCTCTTCGTTATCATTTAGAAACACCTCTGATTGGCTAATTGCATCTTCAGCTAAGGGAAAAGCCATTAACAAGCACCATACTGTGCTTCCTTTTTTGCCACATTTGTAGGAAGGGGTTTGGGATCACGATAAAGAGAACACTGAAAATAGACGCTGTGAGCATCGCAAAGATCCTTTCTTGACTGAAATGGAAGTGGAGCCAGAAACCGCAGTGACAATTATCTCAAAATTGAGACAAATACACCCAACTCTGTCTGCATGACTGGAGAGCATCAGATGTATCCTGGGAAATTAGATTTAATGCCAAGCAGCTGGATGATATGGTATTTGACACATGATGTTGTGCGTGAAATAACATGCCAGGTAGAACCTGTTGTTGTGCGACAGTGGCATCACGAAGCTTCTGGATGTGTGACCTTTCCATGAACCACAGAGGGCCTTCGTATACGCTGAAACAGGAGGACGTAAATGAAAGTGACAGGCTTATATACATCAGGCAGTAACTTCAGAGGCCTGCAGTGAGGCTCATAGCTTATTCAATACTTTTTCTGCGCCTGCCTCCCTGTCAGCCTCACCTTACGTTTCAGGGTTCTCAAATTCTGCATGGGGATGATGACAAGGAGTCTGAATTGTAGTCTAAACAATTGGCTTGTGACATTTTGATAACTACTATTTTTCTTGTATGAAAAGCATTGTGCCATGTGCCTTTTAATTTTGCAGATGGATGTGAGCTGTGAAGTCTAAAAGAAAGCTTGCAGCTGTGCTAAAAACTATTATTTTTATGTCCCGGCAAAAATGATGAGAGTGTACATAACAAAAACAAAAGAAAAGATGGTAAAAGGAGGGACGGGGTGGAAAGAAACAAGTCTTAAGAAAAGAAAACAGTGAGAGTTAGTGAAAAGAAAGTGAAGCTGAATAAAAAACAAAGAGATTCAAACTACAAGAGGTCGGCAGATCAACATGAAGTGATGGAAGAGAGAAAGAAAGTGTGAAATGTGGAAAAAGAACACAAAGTCTCTGAAAGCAACAGAGAGACCAGCAAGCATTGCTAAGTGCACACTGTCAGAAAGTATGAGCATCGAGGTTGTCATAAGAAATGGGCATTTCATGTTCTCCCTTTGGTGGCTATGCAGCGGATCGTGGCTGTTGACCTCCCTGACAGATCCTGGGCTTCCATCCATCACCTCAGGGAGACATATTAATGTGGCAGCATGTTTTTAGCTCATCCATCACAACATCAGATGGCTCATACGGAACCTACGTAAGGACACAGTCTGGCCAGTCAGACGATTGATTAAACAGACCTCGTCTGACTTTCTTCAAATAAGACTGAAGGGTGTGGATAGTTCTTTGGTCAAGGACAGAAAGTTCACTGAACTTAAGCACAACAGTGATTTTAATTGACTGTAATGGGGCAGCCAAAGCAGAGTCCAGGTTTGTTGAAGCTGTAGTAGTTGAAGCTTCTTGTTCTTAAAGTGCTCTACTTGACCTTGTTATAAGAGATGGGAAGTTACAAAAACGCTTTCTGAAATAGTGTTCACTTCGGTATCATTTGTTGATATAATATTAGTCTCAGTCCTAAAACTCAAATGCTTTTTAGTTTTAGTCACATTTTACTTTGTTCGTTTTTTTAAATGTTTTTTTCTTTGTGTTTTATTCCTGTTTTATTTTGGACAGACACAAAATACACCACACGCCACACTTTGCCCCCTATAGTTTTGGTCTAGTCTTCCCCCAATTCCACCTAATCCGGAACGACTCCAAAGTGGAACAGCTACGATTTTCACTGTCTGTCAATTCCTACCAGATGCGTTTGTAAGGCAAATTTTGCAGCGGAATTCAGACAGAGGGAATTGCAAGAACTCACAAGAACCCACGGATTCACATGCAATCGTGTCTCTTTAAAGATAGCCACATATTCATATAAGCAGGAGATTGTGTCCTTCCAGAGGAGGAAATCCACTTCTAGATTTCTAGAGTCAGCATCTCCTCATCCATGGTGTCAACAGGGTGAGTGATGTCTGAAAACCTTTCACCTGTTCGTCCCCTCCCATGTTTGCATGGTGTGAAAGACAATCTGCCTGAAACACTTAGTATTTTATTTAGAAAAGAAGACTGATGTTTTATTTTGTGTCTGTACCCGATTTCCTTTCGAGCACGGGCTAATCTGTGCTAAATTCATGCGGCATGCTGTGGTGATCGGCTGTGGAGTCCGCTGAACCACAGCGGGACGGAAAGAAGCCGGTGGAAATTGACACATTAACGTGAATGGAAATAATCAGTTGCGATCGGCGCATACAGCCTTTCTGGATGCTGTGGAAATTGGGGGTTATTCTACGAAAAAGTCATTTGGTTTTAACTTTGAGTCAATAAGAAACTGGTATCAACTGGCAAGTATTAAAATTGATGCGCCCATTCCTAAGCACTCACTTGGTCTTAAGTACTTAAAAAAAATTCTGAACTCAGTTGTTACTTCCACCCAATTTTATTTGACGACCTCCTCTTATGGGGTGGGAGTAGGGGTCTGCCCTCTGCCCTTATATCCTTAAATCCAATATACAGTCCCGGACTGACAAGCTGTCCAGAAGCAAAACTCAGTTCACTGCACTCCCAGAGGCATCTTTATCCTCAGTGATTTAGAGTTTACCATTATGAGGTAATGTCTCATAATGTCTCGTACATGTCTCTAAACTAGGGTAAAACATGGTTTGAATATGGAGCTGTTAACGCTTAGAACAGCAAAAAAAGGGGGCAAATGTCAAATACTAAACTGACACTGTGCCCCTCCATGATCTCAGCCACGAATAACATGTACAGCGGGTAAATTCTTCTTGATTTTAAGTGTCCACCTTTAATGTTTTCTTCTCATATTAGTCTTACAAACAAAACAAATTCTTTATTTATCAGAGTTTTCAGTCAAATGTTGGGGTATCTCTGCTATAGGTACAGATTTATTTCTATGCAATACTTATTCCTCTGTACTTTTTTTGTCCTCACATATTTCAAGAGGCTTGTTAACAGCAGCTTTGCGTCATTTGAAGTGAATCACTGACATTTTTATGACTTCCATATTTCTATTTTGCATCACTGTTGGCTGCTTTTCCCAGATCACTTTTAACCTAAATGGATGAGACAATAAAACGCACAAAAGGCAATCACTTGGTATTTCTGCGCTTATCTCCCACAGCAGTCACATCATGATGAATATATCCTTCAAAAAAAGGAGCTATCCACAAGACACAAGCAAAGAAGAGAAACTTGTGAGGAGAGAGGAGAGACATCAAATGAATGTGATTCCTGACAGACGAGAAGAATCTGTACCTGCAGAGATAGAAGTGAACAAGACTGCAGACATCACTAAAGATTTATGCACATCCTATTCATCTGTAATTTTAAATATTTAGTCACTGTTCATTATTTTAGAGTATTATCAATTACTCTTAAATTGCAGAATCGTGTTTATATGATGAGGTCCAGTTAGCTCAGTTAATGTTTAAACAAGGAGTATAAGTCATCATCATTCTGCCTGATTCTGCATTACATGTAGTCCACAAACATCCATCTCTCCTACAAAATCCATAAAACTCCCTTACAGGTGAGGAAGCTGTTTTTGGTTGCAGGTGGAGTTAATCTCTTTCATATGTTGTCTCTTTGGACAGCTAGTTCACATCGAGCATGAACAAGATCATTTACTCGCCTGAATGTGGTGTGTTTACTCACTAATTTGCACAAATGACTCACTTCATTCATGTGTTTATATATATATCACATCTGCGGAGTGCCCAGACATGTGATAGCAAAAGGGGAGGGGATCCTTCATGTCATGTCTCTCTGGTTAAACTGTGCATAGTTGAGGTTGACCACACTGACTGTCTCCACACATCAAGTACGAGTAAAATCATTTGCGTGAATGAATTACATGTTAAGTCAATGCAAGGATGCAATTACACGCTCCTACTGTTCTGACGGTGCAAATGACGCAAATTGGGTGTTAGCTGAAATGACTCAACTTGAGTGGATATTCACGTTGCGCTTACTAATCAGCACAAAGGTTGCCAGGTGACGTATGGAAAGGACGGTTGTTCACTGGTATCTAAAGTGAAGGACAAACTGATTGTCAAGTCAAGGTTTATTTGTATAGAACATTTCAGCAGCAGGGCAATTCAAGGTGCTTTACATGAAACAAGCAGGCAAAACATTCAACACAATTTGAAAAGTAAAAACAGTGTAAAAGACATTTAAAAAATTTAAAGTTACATTCAAAACTAAAATAAGGTTGGAGATAAAAGAAAGCAAAGAGAGAGAGAAAAGAGATCAAGACAGGCAGATGATGAAGATGTTGATTAGGGGCCTCAGGTTTGATTTAATGATAGGCCACGGCAAACATATGCGTTTTCAGCTGTGATGTCAAAGAACTGAGAGTTTCAGCAGATCTACAGTTTTCAGGGAGTTTGTTCCAGATATGAGGAGCATTAAAAACTAAAAGCTGCTTCTCCACGTTTAGTTCTGACTCTGGGGACAGACAGCAGACCTGCTCCTGATGATTTGAGCGGTCTGGATGGTTCGTAACGTACCACAGATCAGAAATGTATTTTGGTCCTGAACCATCCAGTGCTTTAAAAACCAGCAATAGTATCTTAAAATCAATTCTTGGTTCGTGTTCTTGATCATGTTGGTGTGTGGGTGCTCAGATTTATATGATACCTTTTCTTTCAATTACCGAAACCGGAATAAAAAGTAGCTCTCCTGGAGGCAAGTGAGTGAGGAGGTCGGATTACCTGGTAAATTGTAAAAAAAACCTTTGCCTATCACTTTATCCCGCTGGTTGAATTGGCGGGGATTATCGTTGAAATTACCGTTGACGTGCGAATGAAGTGAGTAAATACTATTTATTAACGCGTCTAGACTCGTGCAAATTAAGAGAGTAAATGATTTTACTTGCGCCTGGTGTGAGCGCCCCATAAGAGGATCTGTTGTGTTTAACCAATTAACAAAATCCTCCAGTTGAGCTCTTTTTAAAAATTGAAATCAAGCGAGCTGTATCCTACAGCTCAGTTAGTCGCATACTTTCATTATTGGTTGAAAAGATCAGGAAAAGCAAAAGCAAAGCAAATGAGAAAGTAGCAAGTGTATTTTATTTTACGCAGTAACTGCTCTAGGTACCAGCTAAAAATATTGAGTAGTCTGACCTGGGCAGCAGGTGCTGCTGCTTCAGGATGGAAAGAAGATGTCAGA